CTCCAAGCGCAGCAGCTTGAGGAATATGCGAGGTGCGTGTGTGTGTGTGTGTGTGTGTGTGTGTGTGTGTGTGTGTATGCCAGAGATCCCTATGGGATGGAGAAACGGAGGAAAGGGCACTGTGGTGTGCCCATGCCCTGTTGTGGGTGCATTCTTTCTCCTTCTCTGTCTCTATAGTAAACACCATATTTACATCTTCCAATAAAAAATAGATAAATAAATAAAAACAAACAGACTCAGTACACTAAAAGTATTCTGTTTCACCTGTTAATCTCTTCCTCTTTCCTAGTATCTGTCAACCACTAATCAATCTTTTTATTACCTCCATAGTTTCACCTTTTCTAGAATGTCATTTATTTAGAAGCATACAGCTTTTTTTTTCTTTTTAAATGCCAGAGGACATGTGTGCTCACCAGAGAGAGAGAGAGAGAGAGAGAGAGAGAGAAATGGGGATGGAAGAGAAAGCACCCCCCCTTCCCTACAAGGTAGTCATGCCATAATCCTGTCTCCTTTATTTATCCATCCCATTGGGATTTGGGGCATGCATACATGCTCAGTGTGTTTTTCAGGCTGCTATGGCTAGAATTTGCACTATAATAAGCCATGTGGGATCCAGCTCTCTTTACTAGACATGGGGCTGGTCTATATCTAGCTTTTTTTTTATTGACTTCTTTCACTTAGTAGTATGGATTTCAGGTTACTCCATATCTCTTCATGGCTTCATAGCTTAATTCTTTTTCATGATTTGGATGTATCACAATTTATCTGTTCTTCTGCTGAAGGACTCTTAGCTTCCAAGCTTTGGCAATTATGAATAAAACTGCTATAAATATCTATGTATTGTAATGTTTTAAATCCTTAGTAGTGTTTACTAAATTTCATGGAAAGGTAAAGTTTGCTGCAGGTGCACCCTGACATGGGGGCAGCTTGTCGTGCTGTCTTCAGGAGGCCATATCTCAGTTGCTTCAAGGTAGCTCATAAGCATTGAAAATGTTTCCTCTCCTGATTTTTTCTTCTCTTTAAATTTTTATACCCTATTTTGTCACCACAGATGGGTAATTGACTTAATGCAATTAAAAAGAAAAAACAAACAACAACAACAAATAGGAAAGTCCAAAGGAAGAAACCTAAACAAACACATAGCTAATCTCTTCACAGAGATAATAAATCACCATGAATGACATTTGTTCTTAGTCTTTTTCCTACATGTATGCTTAGTGTCACCACCACTAGTGCCTCAGCAGCCAGTCAGAATCATTCGTAGTATATATGTATATATATTTACAAATGTAGGTTGAGAAGTAATTCTTAAAATAGCGATTTTTTTTTTTTTTTTTTTTTTTAGGTTTTTGCCACAGGGCTCGTGCGCTCACTGAAGATAGAGAGGGACAGTGAGAAAATGTTACCAGATGGAAGACTTGGAATGCGTTGTGTGAAAATCCTCAGTTCTTTAGGTCCATATCTCCTAATATTTAGAGACCTGCCCTGAGACACATAGTGAAAAATCACAAACACTTACAAAGTGGGAAAAGGGAAGTTTTAATAGAAAAGTGAGGATTTTTAATCGAAAAGAAATACACCTCCACACAGAAAGGTAAGGAGGTGGGCAGCTACCAGAGGACCACTGCACTAAGCATGGAGATGAGTGTTACTTTTTATCAGGAGAGTTGGTGATGAATATTGAGCAGGGCAACGTCTGTCATAGTATCTGGACTCTTTGTTAGAAATTCCTGGGCTTTTCCCCCACACTTGCATATCTCTTGTTCAGGGGAGGAATTTAATTACCTAATCATACGTGCCCAGTGTGAACTTTGAAGGTTGAGTATCCAACTCAATTCTACATCCCAGTGAGAATTAGGATGTTGACCTAGCATCCCATCCCAGTAGTGGGTATGTATATTTGGGATGGCTGAAAGGAAAATAACAACCTTCCTGGTACCAGGAGCTAGATGAGAGGAAGGAGTCTTTGCAGAGGGTCTAGTTGTAACTCCTCACAATTTGTGATATATGTGACAGATGACCTACTGATGTTTTTTTCAGAGCTGCTCACTCATATGAGTCTAACTGTGTGTTACAAAATCACCCCTCCCCCCCGCCCCGGGGAGATGCCACAACACAGTCCCTTCTCCTCTTGGAATTTTGGGCATGTCCGCATACATGCCTGGTATAATTTTCAAGCTGCCGGATGTGGGACTTGAACTGTGGTCAGCCGTGTGGGAGTCCAGCACTTTAACCACCACACTACCTTTTGATTCCAGTAATAGAATATTATTCCTGTCAACAGCCCTGAGTCGGGACTAGGGTCTAGCCTGAGACTTTGATTAGCTAGTTATGTGACCGAGAAACAAGATATTCCTGAAATAAAAAAGCTATAAAATAATATTTAAGTTATCGTCTCTGAATCTTATAGAATTTCAGTAGATGGAAAAACAACTTCTAAAATAGATACTTAACCTGAAAAGTTTGAGGCATTTTAGAACTGCTGTTATAGTCAGAGTCTTAAAAATCATTGCCAGCTAACTTTGGCTGCTTGTTAGAATTGCCATGGGAGTTTTTTTAAATGTACCCAGTCATGGGTCATGCCCTAGAGACTGACTTAATTGGTCTCCAGCGGGTCCCAGTGTCTCATTGCTTTGCGCTGCTTCCCAGCTTTTTTCTTCTCTGTGGCCTGCATGATATTAATGTGCAGCCAGAGTGAGCGCTGCTGGCTTGGTTGATGAGCAGACTGTGTTGGCAGCACCCAAAGTCAAATTACCTTCTTTCCTATTCTCTTTATTGCTTGATGTCATTCAGTGATGGAGAAGAGATAGGTAGATAGGATAGAAAATATTATCTAAAAAATATTTCACAATTTAAATTGTTCCTCCTTAATGATGATTTCTTAAGTTAGATTCAGGTACAAATTACTGATAAAATAGATTTAGCTTTCAGCACTGCCTTAGTTTGCCATTCAGCTTTGTGAACTTTCCTCAACTATTTTATCCTGTCATTTTACTAGAACACAGCATTTCTAATTATTTTTTATAATATCTGTGTTACTAAACTATTTTCTTTTGTATTTCCATAGGTCATCGGTTTTGGATCTGTTAAGATTGCAGCATTCATAGCTATGGTAGGGATCCTGTCCATTGTGGCTCAGGTGAGTGTTCTTTATCCATACCAGTAGCCATAGTGTCACAGGAAACCACCTAGAAGTGTAGGTAGGAGGGCCAGCAGGTGGCGCACTAGTTAAGGCACTGGACTCCCATGTAGTTGACTATAGTTCAAGTCCTAGACCCAGCAGCTTGAAACTCATGCCGGGCACATGTGTATACATGCCCAAAATCCCTAGAGGAGAATGAAAGAGAGGGGATTGGCAATCTCCTCTCTAAAAAAGAAAAAGTGTATGTAGCACTCCTGAACCTGCCTCCTCAGTTCCTGCCTGCCCCCAGCACAGTAACATTTTTTATAACTATCTTGTAAAATGCAACCCAGAGAACTCACGTAGATAACTATGACAAAACCATTCCCTCCTTTTTTTTTTTTTTTTTTAACAATTTCTTTTTAAAATAGAATGTTGAGGTTATGATTTTGGAGGAATTTAATATGACTTTCCATGCTTCATAGAATATTTATCATAAGCTCTTGTGCTGGGTTAATTCTTCATTTGCTTTATAACAATCAGAGTTGTAAATATTGGGTCATAGGAAAAGTTATGATGAGTTTTTGCATAGAAAAACAGAATACATTGTGACTTTTCCAACGACCCAGTAATTATAGCCTGATTCTAGATAACCTTAATTAGGAGAAGTTAAATTAACCTAACAAGGAAAATATTTCATTGTTACTTCGATGGTGAGAATAGAAACAAAAAGCAGTAACCTCTTATCCTTGCTCTCTACTCCAGTCCTGAGGCAATGTGAACCAATGCATTTGAATATATGAACCAGAGGACCAGCAGCAGATAGCATAGTGGTTATGTTGCTGGACTCCCATTGTAGTCAATGGTGGTTGAGTCCCAGACCTGGCAGCTTAAAACCCACACTAGGCTCATGTGCCTGCATGCCCAAAATTCTGAGAGGTGAGTGGAGGAGAGAAGGGATTGTGGCATGACCATCCCCCCTGGGGGTGGAAGGTGATTTCTCAATTTCTGTCTCTCTGTCTCTTTCTGTCTCTCTGTCAAGCACACGTACCTATAGCAAAACTCTCTTTAAAAAAAAATAATAAAAGGAATATGTGAACCAGGAAAGAACTTTGAGTGACTAGCAGGCTGTATTCTTTGTCTTTTTCTTCTCTCACTCTCTCTTTTTTTCTTATTGTTGTGGCGCAGTACACATGCAAGAGAGAGACAGAGAGGGAAAGTGAGAAATCACCCTAGGGGTATCGTCACACCCCAGTCTCTTCATTCTCTCGGGATTTTGGGCATGCACTCACACATGTCTGGCGTGACTTTCATACCTCTCATTCACTGGGACTGAAACCACAGTCAGCCATGAGGGATCCGGCATCTTCACCAGCACATCACCTGTTGGCCCCCAGGGGTTGTTTTTTATGTTAATTCACTCATGTGCTCAGGTGTGTTCACTGTGGCACATGGTGCTACCTAGAAGTGTTTCCTGAATTGACATCTAGCCATGCAGCACTCTCTTATATGATAACCCTTAGAAGGGCAAAACTGCTTTCCTCAAATTCTAGAATTACCAAGGCTCTCAGGAATATGTGACAGCAGAAACCGTCTTTTTGTGCTGTGGAACTGTATTAGCAAGTGTAAGTTACAAGATGCTTTCAAGTTGGTGATGATTTTGGTTAGTTTTCTACATTGACTAGTTAGTCGACTAGCCAGTTATCATTTATTCTGCTCCTTTCTAGACTATCCTAAATAGTTGTATTTGGCAGAGCATATATGAGGGGATTTGAAAATTTCATGGAAAAATAGAAGTAAAGTTCAAATCTATTTTGGTGCAAAAATATTTGAAATTCACAACAGTTTTTTTTTATAATACACATTTACCATGATCTTTCTTTTTTTTGAGAGGTTTTTGCTATAGAGCGTGTACACTCGCCAGAGAGACAGAAAGCGAGAAATCACCCCCCAGGGGGTATGGCCACGCCGCAATCCCTTCTCCTCCGTTCTCCTCTTGGGATCTTGGGCACGCACGCGCGCCTGGCGTGAGTTTTAAGCCACCAGGTCCGGAACATGAACCGCGATCGACCACGTGGTAGTCCAGCAACATTACGCCATTATAGCCATTACGCCAACTGCTGGTCTCCCGTGATCTTTTTAAAAGCCCCTTATATTTGTTAAAGTCAAGCTTATATTAATCCCAGCTTTTAAAAATTGTTCATCTCCTGTAAAATATCACATTCTGTAAAAGCAGCATTTGCTGTTTACTGAATAGTTAAAGTGACTGCTGTTTCTCCAAAGAGACTGATGCATGTCTGTCTTGATCCTGATAACTGGTGAACATCTATGATAAACTGGAGATTTGCCAGCACAGAACCAGGTAGAGAGGCTTCTTAGGGTGGAAAAGGCCCTGAGCCCTAGTCAGTCCAGGAACCCCTGAAACTCCTCCCCTACAGTGAAACTTTGCCTTTTCTCTGATCAGAGAAAGGTCAGACCATGTGCTCCTGGTTGTTGGACTTCACTCCCAGAGCTTCATTCATGTCTCTGTTTCTCAGAGTTGTCCTCCTTTATTTTGCAGACGGTCTTTCTTAGCATCTTGATGAGATCATTAGGAAATAAGAATACAGTCCTCCTTGGCTTGTGCTTCCAGATGTTCCAGTTAGCCTGGTATGGTTTTGGATCCCAGGCCTGGTAAGCTTCACTCTTAGATTCTCATTAGCTTACAAGTAGATAGATCTTCAATAAGCTCAAGCTGGTTGAGGGTGATGAGAAGGACTCAGAGTTTTTTGATTGGTTTGGTGAACTATTAGGCTTTAATGTGAGGAAGAATGGAGCTAGATCATTCAGAGTTATTTGTGAAGATTCATTTCAATGGGCTTTCAGTAAGTCATTGTTTGATTAAATATGTTTCCCTCTTCCTCCCCCAAAGCAAAGTTTTATGTTTGCTTTTTAACATAGTTGTCAGTTTTTAGGGTCATTGTAGCTAGTCACAAGGAAACAAGATAAGACATAATGGCTAATTATTATAAGCTTCGTTATTGTAATTAATGGAATAGCCTCAGACAGTAACGTAACCTCTAATAAAATAAAGCATTTGTGTTAGATGGACACTGACATGTCTTCCAAACCATGTGTACCTTGAGGCAGTTACTACTACTAGCATTTTTAAATTCTTATAAATAGGAAGTAAGGTCAGAATCAGTCCTGTGGAGTAAAAGAAATAATAGATTTCTGAGTTGCATTTTGTTCTGTGGCAAGTGCTCCTAATGTACCTGGTTGCTAAATACCAGAGTCCCTGTCTCCATTTTAGACTTTGTAGTTGGTGGTCCTCACTTCGTGTATACATGTGGATGGTATAATTTAGAGAAACAGAGATGCTTCAGTGGTTAGTGGTTAGTTTGGGGAGCAAATACATGTGCACAGTCTGAAATTCTGAATTTTATCTGAACCACTTACTCTTCCTTTCTGAATGACTTCTTATCAAGTTAACTTGGTTGATTGTTTTTTATTTTGGTCCTATGAACCAGTGTCTGAGTCAGTTAGATTCATGCAATATAGAAAAACCTTTGTTGTCATGAAGGGTTTTTCTTTTTCATTAAGGACCAAGGAAGTCTGACAAGTCATTCCCAAACCCAGCTGGGGCATCCTGTACTCTACAGTCACCCTTCATACTGAAACATGCAAGCCAGGCAAGCAGGCTGTTTTTTTCAGTTGCTGACACTCTGTTCTGTTGAAGAGAGTGTGAAGGTGAGACTTTGAGAAACTCAAAGAAAAAAGTGGAAAGTTGTGGGGGACAGGGATGGTATTTATAGAAACAAAAGAAGTTCCATTATGAACTTCATTGAGCCTACATTTAAAGATAGTGTCAGGAAACCAGGGAGAATAAAAAAATTTTTGAAAGAAGTAGATTAAAGAAATGAAGCTTTCTTAGACCTACTGTCCCTATCCCAACCTATGAAGTGATTGCTATTTAACAGAGTAATACCTAAGTGGTTTTTTAAAAAATTTTAAGTAGGAAAAAATAAGTAATAATTAACACAAGGAAGTAGAAGACAATGGTATTTTTGCCGCTGACGATATTCAGAACCATGGGCTCCTTGGGTCTGACCCCATTACCTGATGACAGCCTGTCCTATCATTGCAGGATGATGTGGGCAGCAGGGACTGTGGCCGCCATGTCCAGCATTACATTCCCAGCAGTCAGTGCCCTTGTCTCTCGGAATGCAGAGTCAGACCAGCAAGGTGAGATTGCTGTCCTTTGCTCTTCTTCAGCGGCTTCCCTCCCAGAAGCATGAGAAGCTCTGAGTCCTCACATCAGCAGCAAGAGCTGACAGCCTCATGGTCCTTTTTTGAGGCTTCTATCTATTTACTTTGTAATAGGGAAATTCTCTTTTCTTCCTGCTTTGTTCTGATTTTTAAAACCTGGACTTAGCAGATCAGGTTACTAAGAATGAGAAATATAACTATCCATTTTCCCTTTGCAGTTTGTACTCTTGTCCATTAACATCAGAATTAACCTAAGTATAATCACATTTTAACAGATGTATGTTAATATTTGATAGGCTGGCCATATAACAACAAGTTATTTATTTAGTCACTTTAAATCACTAAAGTGTCTTCAATTTGAAATATCTCCTAAGTTTGCCAGCTTAATTTAGGAAATGGTTCTAAGAAAGGATAAAGAAAAATACATGTGTGTGGTTGATAGTTGGATGCAGCACAGAGATGAAATTTAAGTTGGGACTGCTCTGTGAGAGTGGCATCCCCACAAATACTCCTACCCTCCCTTCCTGTGCCTCTCATCCCTTTCAGGCAGCTCTTACTGCCAGAGGAAATCTTTTTCTTTGTCTCCTAAGGATTTCTTACAAATAGTTAATTTTAGGAGAGAATTTTAGAGGGAAAATTTTTTAAATGACCAAGAGCGCTTTTAAAAATTGCAATAAAAAACTAGATTAGAAAAGAAAGCTCATTTATTGCACCTGTTTTTCTATATCAGAAGTTAACTATCTTAATCATATCCATTTTCAAATACTATCATTCAGAAACCCCAAGTTGGCTACAATAACTCAGATGGCTGTACTTTCTGGGAGGGTTGCATCTGAAGCAGTGCATAGGCCAACCATGGGGGGCTGGCACTGTCTGGGCACCTGACAGACACCTTCTGTAAGTTTGGAGCATCTTTTTTTTTTTAAAGGTTATTTATTGTTTCAGAGACACACATGCACATGCATGTATGCACTCTGTGTAGAGTTCCCACACTATGTTTCATCCCCACCCTCAGCCAGCTTGGAGTATGGACTGGTGAGTGTCTAGTGTGTGAACAGGGAGTCCTCGGAGTCATTAAGCTGTGAGTCTAGCATCACAGAGTGTTATGTTACTACTGTGCCACCAGCTGACCACCTAGGGCATGAATTTTCTTCAGCTGTTTTGATGCCTATCTGTATCAATAAAGATGTTCCTCAGTATCAGTGTATAAAGCTATTGGAACATAATGTATTAGGCTGAATTGTATTCAGTCATTTTTTTTTACTTAATAGGAACACCCATTTTATATGGTTCAAGCTAAGTTTTTACTTGCCACAATTAGAAATGAGAGATACCTACAAACTGGCACTTCTGGGATTTTTTTGTGCAGGTCTCCAGGGAGATGGGCCCAAATGCTGGCCCAGCAGCCATGGGGACAGAATCTGCCTAGAAGAGTTGCTTAGCACTCATGGGCCCAGGGCTGCCAAAGGCAAAGAGCAGGCTTACATTGTAAAAGCACCATTAAATAGAGTAGAACAATCTCAATCTGCAGAAAAGTGGAATTATCTGCAATTGGGGAATATTGAAGTTTTGCATATTATTATTCCTCATTTATAGGCAGCAGATCTAGATGATGTGGGTAATTCAATCCCACAAGGATTTCAAAAACATCTCTGTCATTTCATCTCCTTACAGATCTTAAGATTACATGAACTGGAATAATAAAACAAGGAAAACATCTGGGCAATGAATGAAAATGTGATGGGCTAAATATTCTTAATGTACTTTCCTTAGCATGCTTCCTGCTCAGTCTTGCTCAATAAGTATGTTATAGTTTGTAAGAAAGTACTTACTGTTAAGATTCAAATATCTAGGTATTTTTCTGGCTCTTTTCTCTTTGTTGTGATTTAGGAGTTGCCCAGGGGATCGTAACTGGAATCAGAGGACTGTGCAATGGCCTGGGGCCTGCACTGTATGGATTCATTTTCTACATGTTCCACGTTGAGCTGACTGAGTTGGGCCCAGAACTGAATTCTGACAATGTTGCCCTACAGGTATTTTGGTGATAAGTCTCATTTTATAATGATTATGCCTGATTATAGCAAAATCTTATCTTAAATTTATAAAACATTTTTACTTATATATTGCTGTTATATCTGACAGCAGCAATTGTGTAGTAATGCCTAGGATCAGATAAAGATCATATCTATTATTTAAAATCTTTTTTTTTTTTTTTTTTTTTGAGAGGTTTCTGCTAAAGGGCGCATGTGCTCGCCAGAAAGACAGAGAGAGACAGAAAGCGAAAAATAACGCCCCAGGGTGGATGGCCACACCGCAGTCCCTTCTCCTTTATTCTCCTCTCGAGATCTTGGGCACGCCCACACACACGCCCAGCATGAGTTTATGCCACCTAGACCGGGACTTGAACCACGATTGATTACATGGGAGTCCAGCAACATAGCCATTATGCCAACTGCTGGTCCCGAAAACAGAATTTTCACAGAAGTTAAGATAAATCTTTTACATAAGATTTTAAATAATGGAGGGACCAGCTGATCTAAAAAGTCAGCTAAAAATTGAGCCAGAGTGCTTTTTTTTTTAGCTATTGCTTTGGAATTTCTTTCTCTTCTTAAGCAGTGATATTTAATACAGATTTCTCTACAAAAGTGGAGTTAATGTTGATGTATAGAAGTGCGTGGTCTCAGGTCCCAAACTTGGTTGATCTATTTAGAAGTAATGTAGATAGCCGAGACCCATTGTCCTCTGTTATCTTCCACATACCAAGAGCTGTTAAGAGTTTGCCTTGACATTGAATGACATGTGTGCTTATGAGGAAATGATTTATTTTTCAGTCATGTGTCTTTTTGGAGGGTCATCCAGAACTAATACTGGATTAAAAAGACTAATGAATTCTTTGTCTCCACTTGTTTCCTCTATCCCTCAGGGAGCTGTCATCCCAGGCCCCCCATTTTTATTCGGGGCATGTATTGTTCTTGTGTCTTTTCTGGTTGCCTTATTCATCCCTGAATACCGTAAAGCCAGTGGAATTCAAAAACATAGCAACAGTGTCAGTGGCAGCCTGCCCAACCTACCAGAACGAGGCAGCGGTGAGGACATTGAGCCATTACTGCAAGACAACAGCATCTGGGAGCTTTCTTCCTTTGAGGAGCCTGGGAACCAATGCACTGAGCTATAAAACTCAGCAGAAAAGGGAGTCTGCAGACATTGTCCTGAGAGCTGCACAGTGAACCACCACACCGAGACTTCACGGTGCTGTAGAGGGAGAACCACCGCATGGAGACTTCACGGTGCTGTGGGGGGAGATGCTGGAAGCCTCCTTCAGAGTCAAGTGTGATAAGTGACTCCTTCCATCTTTCTGTCCTCCCTCCACTTCCTCCTCCTGTTATTTTTTTCTATGTTGCTGCTTCCTGTTTATACATTAAAACAAGGTAAGATTTGAAACACTTCCATGAACATACAGTGCAACTGTCCAAGTTATCTGGAATCCAAACTTTGAAACTCAAATAGAAAAAGTCACATTTCTGGTAGAAAGGATAACGTTCCTTTAATAACTTCAGAGTAAAATTGACAGCAAATCTTCCATACCCTTTGAACACAAGGTGCACATTGCAGTAGGTAATGCTGTCTGGCAAGACCTCAGGGAAAGAATTCCTTCTTGTTTCCTTCCTTTCTGCTTTCCTAAGTTATTCCCAGTGGGTCTGTAGGTATAGGCGTGTAGCCACTATTAAGAGTCACTCAGTATCAGGGATCAGTTGCCATTTTCAGAGGTTAAATGAAAGCCTAATTTTACCCTCCTTTTGTTTTCTCTCCTTCCTATTCTTAGCTAGAATAAAATTCAACATCTACATCTCTGAACATTAACAGTAGTGATCAGTGATTACCTTTACTGGGAGAAGGAAATTTTTTCTTACATATTTAAATCATGTAAAACTCGCAACTCAGATTCCCTAGACCTAGTGTCTTGGTTGCATACAGGGTGATTTTACAGAAGAAAACACACTGAGCATTCTGGTAGCAGCGTAGAAATCGGAGGGTGCCTCTAAGAAAGGTTTTAAAATGTGAACATTCTAAGTGAGGATAAAGTAACTGGATACCAGTTTGTGTCCATGCTCAGATTCATAATGCATTATCACTGTTGGCTCTTACTCTCCCAAGTCCTGTTTCTCAAACGAGTTTCCATCCCTCACACTCCTGCCTTAACTGCTCTGTAGTATATGCATTGTTTTCAGTTATTCTTTATTTCAGTCTGTTTATCTGACTTTTGAGTCTTACAGGAATATGCATATCACAAATTCCTTCCTAAATCTGATGGTTTAGTGAAACTCAGTTTCACAATAAGTGTCTTGCTAATTTTTCGAGATGTTTTATGGGCAAAGAAAACTTTACAGATTTATATGTATTTTGCTGCATCAGTAAATGGACCATTAACTAGGGCCCACTTTTAATAGAGCACTCCTTTGAAAGTTTTATAGGTATGAAATGTATGTAGATATTTGTAAGAGATTTTAATTTTTTTGATGGGGTGCTGTGTAAATCTTGTATTTATAAATGTAATGAAGGTATTGACAGATAAAATATATACAACTTTTATAAAGGATTGTGTACTGACTGAATACATTTAAAAGAAAATATATTTTGAAACCTGTTCTGCTGTGAACAGAGATAACATATCTTTTTACTATGTTGTTGGTTTTTAGGTTAAGCTTCCTAATGCATAATAAATTTGCAATGGATACTTTTATGTCTTTTGTATGTGTGTGTGTGTGTGTTTTAAGCAAATAACTTTTTTGGATTTTTTTGGGTGGCTTTCAAGTAAATTGAGTTAATACTTTATCTAATACAAGAGTTGTGTATATTTTCAAAAATAATTTTTAACAAATTTCCTTCAAAATATCTCTTTTTTGGGGGGGTGGGGTGGGAGAGGTTTTTGCTATAGGGCATGTGCGCTCCCCAGAGAGACAGCGAGAAATCACCCCCTCGGGGGGATCCATACTGCAATCATTTCTCCTCCATTCTCCTCTCAGGATCTTAGGCACGCACGCACACACGCCCAGCATGAGTTTAAGCCAATGAGTCCAGAACTCAAATCGCGGTCGAACATGGGAGTTCAGCAACATAGCCATTACGCTATCTGCTGTTCCCCAAATACCCTTTCAAAAGAGGTTAAGTATAAATGAATGTTCCTCAGTTATGATGGAGTTACATCCCAATGAGCCTATCATAAATTGAAAGTATTTTAATTTGGAAATACATTTAATACATTTAAAAGCTTTGACACCTTCAGTATCAGCATTGCAGATTTTGGGTATTTACCCTCATTATTGTGTGGTTAGGAACTGGCTGGTAGCTACCCCACATTGCAAGAGAGTCCCCTGATAAGTATCACTAGCCCAGAAAAAGGTAACAAATCAGAGTACAATTTTAGTGGAGGTATACTGCTTTCACACCATGGTAAAGTAGAAAAACTGTAAGTCTATCCATTGTAAGTGGGAGGCCCTGTATATTTTTGCTTTAAAGAGCAAGGACAGGAATAGATACTGTATTCCCATGCTGTTAGCCACTTTGTTTGCAATAGCCAAAAAGTGGGGGAAAGTCAGTGTCTATTGACTGATGAATGGATAACCAAATGAATGATATGTGATGAATGATAAATGATGAATAAGATATACCATGGAATATTATTCAGCCTTAAAAAGAAAGAAAATTCTGACATGTGCTATAAAATTAATGTGAAATAAATCTGTATGATTTTACTCATCTACATTCCATAGAGTAGTCATAGTCAGAGAAAAACTTAATTGATGGTCACCGGGTCTGAAGGAGGGAGAAGTAGGAAGTTATTTAATGGGTACAGAGTTTTATTTTGTAAGATGAAAAGTTCTAGGATGATATTGGTGTTGATAGTTGCACAACAATGAGTATATACCTAATGCCACTGAACTGTACCCTTTAAAAATTATTAAAATGGTAAATTTTATGTTATGTGTATTTTGTCACAATTTTTAAAATACTCATGGAAGGCCATTCAGGTGGCGTGGTGAAGACATCTGGATCCCACACGGCTGACTTACTATTTGAGTCCTAGGCCTGGTACCTTGAAAAACATGTGTGTGTGCATGTGCACATGTGCCCAAAATCCTGAGAGGAAAATGGAGAAGGGATAGTGGCATGGCCATCCTCCAGAGGATTGATTTCTCATTTTCTGTCTCTTTTTTCTCTCTCATGAGTGCACACACCCTGTAGGAAAACTAAAAAGCAAACAAACAAAAAACTTATGGGATCTTTGTTTTTTATCATCACTTATTACAATTGCAGTTCACTTTTCCCATTTTGAAATATCTTAGTGTAACAACTGTCTTTTAGTTTTTGTTCATTTGCTCGCCCCCTCTATTCACTTTCTTGATAGTTTGATTTAGTGAAAATTTCAAGTTTTTTTTTTTTTAAGAGGTTTTTGCTATAGGGCGCATGTGCTTGCCAGACAGAGAGAGATAGACAGAAAGCGAGAAATCATCCCCCAGCGGGGGATGGCCACACCGCAATCCCTTCTCCTCCATTCTCCTCTCGGGATCTTGGGCACACATGGACACGCTCCCAGCGTGAGTTTTAAGCCACTGGGTTCGGGACACAAACCACGGTCGACTACGTGGGAGTCCAGCGACATAGCTATTACGCTAACTGCTGGTCTCTAAATTTCAAGTTTTGATGAAATCCAGTTTATCATTTTTTTATTGCTTGTGCTTTTAGTGTTAATGTCTAAGATACTGCCAAATACAAGGTTATGAAGACTTTCCCCTTATATTCTAATGGTTTTATAGTTCTATTAATAGCTCTTACATTTAGATTTCAATGCATCTTGACTTAGTCTTGTATATATGTCAGGGATTCAGATTCATTCTTATCTCAGCACCACTTGTAAAAGACTGTCTTTCCCCCATCGAATGATCTTGGCACCCTTGTTAAAAATTAGATGACTAGGTAAGCTTGTCGCTTTGTAATTGGGATGGTTGGATTCTACAACAGCTGTGTCATTGGAAACCTGGATCCGGCAGCTTGACAAACACAGAGTATTGTGCATCTATGCCCAAAATCCTGAAAGGAAGGAGAGATGGAATAAAGTGTTTGCAGTGTGACCATTCGCCCATAGGGGGTGGAGTGCTTTATCACATTTCTCTCTCTTTCTTTCTCTGTCTTTCTCTGGTAATCACACATGCTTTCTGGGAGAATTAAAAAAAAAAAAATCAGATGACCACAGAAATGGGTTTTTTCCCAGACTTTTATCTGTACTCCATTGGACTGTGTGTCATTATGCCACTATCACATAACTTTGATTACTATAGCTATTCTGGTAAGTTTTAAAGTCTTCTGGCTTTTTTTTTTTTTTTTCTTTTTCAACATTGTGTTGGCTGTTTGGTATCAATTGTGATTGCATATGAATATTAATTTTGATTTTTTCATTTCCAATTTAAAAAAATGGTACTTGGGATTTGTACTTGAAATGGTACTTGAGGGATAGTATTGAGATCTGTAGATCGTTTGGGGTGGTATTTCCATCTTAACATTATTAAGTCTTTCTACCCAGGAACAAAAGATGTGTGTGTATGTAAATACATTCATTTTTATTTCTTTCAGCAATGATTTGTATTTTTTTTTTTGATAGATTTTTCTTATAGGATGCGTGCACTCGCCAGAAAGACAGAAACAAAGGGACAGAAAGTGAGAAACCACCCCCCAGGGGAGATGGCCACACCAGTTCTCCTCTCGGGATCTTGGGCACACATGCACACTCATCTGGCAAGAGTTTAAGCCACCAGGTCCGGGACTCAAACCACAGTTGACTACATGGGAGTCCAGCGACATATCCGTTACGCAAACTGCTGGTCCCGCCA